TAACAACGGGATCAAGTGGTGCTTTCTTCATTGATGGTCCAGGTGGCATAGGTAAAACTTTTTTGTATAAAGCATTGCTAACTGCTGTAAGGTCTGAAAATTCTATTGCTTTGGCAACTGCATCTTCTGGAGTATCTGCATCTCTTTTACCTGGAGGTCGAACTGCTCATTCAATGTATAAAATTCCTTTAGAAACAGTTGGTGAAGTAAGATGTTCTGTTAGCAAACAATCTGCTTTAGGAATTTTATTGAAAATGTGTAAGTTAATAATTTGGGATGAAACACCCATGGTAAATCGGTGTCCTGTTGAAGCTGTCGATAAAATGTTGAGAGATATTAATGATTGTAACTTGCCTTTCGGTGGTAAAGTGATGGTTCTCGGAGGGAATTTCCGACAAGTTCTACCAGTAGTACCAAGAGGGAAAAAAGAAGATATAATAAAGGCTAGCTTAGTTTTCTCTGACCTATGGCCTCTACTACTACATCTGTCATTAGTTGAAAATATGAGAGCGCAATTTGATCTAACTTTCTGTGATTACTTGTTAAGAATTGGAAATGGGACAGAACAACAACATACTTGTAATTCTATTCGACTTCCTAACAATATAATTGTACCATTCAATNTTCTATTCGACTTCCTAACAATATAATTGTACCATTCAATGATGAAATAACGTCTTTAAAAACTTTAATACATCACGTCTTTCCAGATATAGAAGCATATGCTGAAAATTTATATACGATGGCAAATCGAGTGATTCTTACGCCTAAAAATGAATGTGTTGATCATATTAACAAAATTTTACTAGAACAAATTCTTGGTCAGATTTTTACGTACTATAGCTTTGATGAAACAATCGATAAATCAGAACAAAGCTTGCAAGAAGATTGCTTAAATAGTTTGATCTCAAATGGTATTCCACCACATGAATTGAACCTTAAAGTAAACTGTCCCATCATGTTACTATGAAATATCAATCCTTCCAAAGGTTTATGCAATGGAACACGACTTACTTGTCGAATATTTGAGAAGAATGTAATTCTTGCTGAAATTACATCTAGCGAATATTCTGAAAAATATGTTTTTTTGCCAAGAATACCTTTTATACCGCTTCAAAGTGATCAAACTTCAATTCCATTCAAAAGAACTCAATTTCCAATTAGGTCATGCTTCGCAATGACGATAAACAAAGCTTAAGGACAAACACTTGATTTTGTTGGTTTATATCTTCCAGAGCCAGTTTTTTGTCATGGTCAACTTTATGTAGCGCTGTCAAGAGCTAAAACAAGCAAGTCTCTAAAAATTGTACTGAACCCATCAACTGTTGAAGCTTCACACATCACATGTACCAAAAATGTAGTGTACAAGGAAATTCTTTCGTTCATACATCGATAGAAGACACCGTCGAAGCAATGCAAGTCCAAAAGAGGAAATCACCCTATAACATTTGCAATAAGCCTATTTTCTGGGAAGTTCAAAGAAATTTTCCCTACGGTTGTGAGTACTTCTTTCTATACATATCTCTAGAAAAAAACATTTTTCTG